CTGGGAGCAGCCACTGCACTCCAGTCTGGTGACAGAGTGAGACTCCAACTCAAAACAAAACAAAACAAAACAATAAAACTGTGTCATTGGAATGGAGTAGTCAAGGGCATCTGGAGGATGAGGTCCTAGAAAGGGAGGTATTGCATTGAAAGTATGGTCCAGGTGGAGTGTCAGGTGATGTCCTGAGGTCTGACTGCCCCAGGCACTTGTGGATGTACCTGTGTCGCTGCAGGGCTATGTGTGCCTCCCCTCCTCCACCTCTGACCACCATTCTGTGTGTTTCCCTGTCAGTGTTGAACTTGACCCTCATCGACCTCCCGGGCATCACCAAGGTGCCCGTGGGGGACCAGCCCCCAGACATCGAGTATCAGATCAAGGAAATGATCCTGCAGTTCATCAGCCGGGAGAGCAGTCTGATCCTTGCTGTCACGCCTGCCAATATGGACCTGGCCAACTCGGATGCCCTCAAGCTGGCCAAGGAGGTCGATCCACAAGGTAAGCACAGCTCAAGGCAGCCGCTTCTACCTTCAGGTGCCTCTGAGCATGGGACTCGCCCAGCATCCTTGATGCCAAGTCACTGACATTCTCTTTAACACATGACTGCTTTAGCAAAAGGCTTCCCGGGACATAGCGTTTCCCAGAAGACTGTTGTGTGACAGTAGGACATTGCTCTTTGGACATGATGGTACCCACTTTGCCAATGTAGGAGGCTAGTTCAGGGGAAGGAGAAAGAGCTCAGCTGTCACTGGGTACAGAGGTGACTGCAGAACCCACCCATAGAAGTTACTTCTCCTCCCTGAGGCTTGGTCCCTTCCCTGTCAAAACAGGAATATCAGTCCCAATCTGCAGACCCATTGGGGGGACTGGAGAGAATCGCCATTTGACTTGTCTGGCCAATGCTCAGGGCCAGGCAAGTAAAGTCAAAGAGCAATGAGGTACTGATGCAAGCTGGGGGCAGTAGGGAGTAGTGGGGACTGCGGCGTCCTTGGTCAAGAGCATTCAGAGTCAAACTTTTCAGAGGGCCAGTCAGTGAGTAAGGTTTAATTAAGCACCCGCTGGGTGCCAGGCTCTGTTTTGGCCATGGGGACAGCATTTGGCAGGGTCACAGGGAGCTGATTTTCCAATGGAGGAGACAGAATATAACAAGGGAATAGAAAGGGGAGATTATTTCAGGTTGTGGGAAGTGGTGGAAGGAAAATTGACTCCTTTGAGAGTGTCTGGGTTGCGGGTTGGGGACCTCTGAAGAAGTGAGGTCAGAGGTGAGACCAGAATGATGAAAAGGGGCAAAATCCAGGAAAATTGACTGTGGGAGCTGGTAGCCTGGAGGTGATTTGAATCTGGGGTGGTCAAGAACCAGCATAGAGGCCCATGTGACTACAGGCAGGCCAAGAGGGGCGGGGCTAGTCAAGCCAGGCATGGTGGGCTGGGGGGTTATTCTGAGAGGGGTGGGGAGTTTTAGTCACGTGTAACACAAATTGGAATCCTTTTTTTTTTTTTTTTTAGTCAGTCTAACTCTGTCGCCCAGGGTGGAGTGCAGTGGCACGCTTACGGCCACTGCAACCTTGACCTGCTAGGCTCAGGCGATTCTTCCGCCTCAGCCTTCCAAGTAGCTGGAACCACAGGCATGTGCCACCCAAACCCAGCTAATTTTTAAAAAAATTTCTCATAGAGAAGAGATCTTGCCATGTTGCCCAGGCTGGTCTTGAACCCGTGGGCTCAGGCAATCCTCTCTCCTCCCTCTGCCTCCCAAAGTGTTGGAGTTACAGGCGTGAGCCACCATGTCCATCTAGAGTCCATTTGTAAAATACCCTGTGACTGTCAGTTCCAGGATGGTTTAGAGGGTGTTGGGGCCATGAGAGGGACTGAGTGAGCTGTTGGAGCCAGACAGGTTTTGTGGCACACGGACCTCAGTTTGCAGCCACGTGTCAGGCCCGGCAGGTGGTCAGCAGTGGTGTTCAACAGTCCATTCCTGCACAGGACCGCAATCTCCTCAAACACCAGGGTTGTGTGTAGAACTCTTCCCAGGTTCTTCCCAGGAGGGGCTGCCCCTGCCTAGGGGTCTCCTCTAAAGGCCCACACAGCCCTCTGGTCCATCCCAGCCATGTCCCCGCTGTCCTTCCATGAAATGGGACGTGACTGTGATAAGACTTCAGAGGCTTGATCAGGAAGTGACACAATGGAAATTATACGGTTAAGCCCCGTTTGGGAACCTGATGTTGGCCTTCTGTTTTTTACAAAATGTATTTTCTGCCTTTGAAAGTATTCCTGATTACTACCAAAAAAGAGCAAAGAGTCATCATTGAAATATAGAAGCCAAAAATGGAGAGCTCCCCTTCCCCACTGGTGACCACGGTTGGCAAATGTTCTTCTAGAGTTCTTACACATAAACTCCCAATTTAGAAAATGGGCTGATCTTTCTGTATTTTTCTGTTGTATGTGAATATGTGTGTGTCCCTGTCATTCCATAGTACTAATTGCTGATATAAGTCCTTCTGTGTAAGGAAAGACTTACACCCCGGGATGGCCCGTCACTGACTCTCCTTCCTTTGTTCTTGGACATTTGGGTTGTTTCTGGTCTTTTGTGAGCAGTGCTATTGTGGGGTTGTACATTTCCATCAGAGTTGACACCCCAGGACCCCTCCTGCTCTCTCACCATGGAATTTGAGTGCATCTGGGCTCCTGAGAGGACACAGCTGTCAGTCCCTCAACACCCAAGCTGGCACCCCTCAGTGATATTCCTTGGCTTTCATCTGTCCCTGGTGGATGTTGCATGTGTCCCTTACACAGCACAGGGCCTACCCTTCCACCCAGGTGGGGACAATTGATCTGCAGTGGTAAGGCTTTGCTTTGAGGACACTTTTGACTCTGGATGACCTGGGGAGAGAGGACGTTGGTGAGTTGGTTTCCAGAGTGGAATTCTAGCTATTCAGTTGAGAGGTAGTTCTGGAAACAGTCGCTTTAGTTTTGGGTGTTACGCTGAGACTTGGCATCAACTCAGAGAGGCCAGCATCAAAATCCTGACCCAGGCTATGTGTTTCCTCGAGTTTTCCACCAACCCTGCAGCAGCAGATGCTGTTGCTGATCACGCAAGTGCCAATAATGGTCACTGTTGATTGATTGAGCATTTGCCATGGGCCAGGTTCATCCTCATGGTGACCCTCTGAGATCAGGGCTGTTACTGTCCTCATTTGACACGTGGGACACTGGGGTCCAGGCAGGTGACGTTATGGCTTGTCTCAAGTTGCATGGTTTGGAAGCTGGGGACTGATTGGACCCAGGTATCCTGGAGCCTCCAGCTGTATTCCTTCCTTGTGGTACCCTCTGACCCTGAGACTCTTTTAGGCTTGCGGACCATCGGCGTCATCACCAAGCTCGACCTGATGGACGAAGGCACTGATGCCAGGGACGTCCTGGAGAACAAGCTCCTCCCCTTGAGAAGAGGTGAGGCTTCTGGGGTGGGGCAGGACAGGCTAGGGGGCATGTCGTTGTCATCATGGAAGGCCTGGCAGAGTCTGGGAGACACAGACACATTTACCATCACAAGTCTCCTGGCTGCCTGGAAGTAATAACTGCTTTTATATTTCATTGCATCCTCTTTTTCTTCTGATTTGTGTACATTCATTTTTCAAGTACACGGCTAATGCCTCTCACTTCTGGAACTTTGGAAAACAAGTCTAGCCGGGCTTGGTGGCTCAGCCTGTAATCCTGCGCCTTTGGGAGGCTGAGGTGAGTGGATTGCCTGAGCCCGCGGGCTCGAGACCCGCCTGGGCAGTGAGACCTCATCTCTACAATAAATCAGCCGGGCGTGGTAGCACATGCCTGTAGTTCCCGCTACTTGGAAGGCTGAGGCGGAAGGATCGCCGGAGCCCAGCAGGCGAGGCTGCGGTGGCTGGGAGCGGCCACTGCACTCCAGTCTGGGCGACAGAGTGGGACTCCAACTCAAAAAAAAAAAGAAAAAAGAAAAAAAAGAAAACAAGTCTATAGAAAGAGGAAGCTAAACCCACAGGCAACCGTCGTGTCCCCAGCCAGCCTCCTGTTCTTGCCTTGTGGCTGTCCTTCAACACAGTACAGCTCTCCGGGATTTATCACGTGTTCATTTCTCATCACTTTCTATGATGAGCATTTTAAAACATTCCCAAAGGCATAGAAGAAAGTTGGAAGAGCCCCTAGAGCCTGTTCCCCAACTTCAGTTGTTATTAGCACGCAGCTGATAGTGCATGCCCCAAACATCCTTGCCTGCTAGTGATAATTCCTTCCTGGGATTTTAAAGCAAATCCTCGGCTTCTTATCATTTTATGTAAATACCTCTGTGTCTTTGTCCAACACATCTCCTTCCCATCCACTTTGATTTTTTTTTTCTTGAATTGGAGTCTCACTCTGTTGCCAAGGCTGGAGTGCAGTGACATGCTCATGGCTACCGCAGCCTCGACCTGCTGCGCTCAGGTGATCCTTCCGCCTCAGCCTTCCAAGTAGCTGGAACCACAGGCATGTGCCAACATGCCTGGCTTATTTTTTGATTTATTGTAGAGAAGAGGTCTCACCAAGTTGCCCAAGCTGGTCTTGAACACTTGGGCTCAGGCAGTCCTCTCACCTCGGCCTCCCAAAGTACTGGGATTACAGGCTTGAGTCACCATGCCCAGCTCACTTTGTTTTTTTTTCCGTATCTTTTATCTGTGGAAGAAACTAGACCACGTTCCCCATTCAGGAGCTGGGCAAAAGCTGTTTTCCTGAAAACTGTAGTTTAGTTTTAGACAGAGTCCTGGTTGGGCTCAGGCTCAAGTTCAGGGTCAAGACTTCTGACAGGGTTGAGACTTCTGACAGGAGTAAAGGAAGTATTTTTATTTTTTTAATTAAAAAAATACTTCATTAAAGTTTTTCAGAACAGCAGCTGTAGGTACAATGTCAAATTGAGAGGAATGTACAGACATATCCCATAGCTCCCTACCTCCACATGGATACACCCCCAGTACATTTGTTCCAGTCGATGAACCAGCATTGACCCACTATTGTCACCCAAAGTCCAAGTTTTACATTAGAGTTCACTCTTGGTGTTATAAGTGTTTTTGTTTTGTTTTGTTTTCTTTTTTTTTTTCAGTAGGAGTCTCACTCTGTCGCCCAGACTGGAGTACAGTGGCATGCTCATAGCCACCGTAGCTTCAACCTACTGGGCTCAGGTGATCCTTCCGCCTCAGCCTTCCAAGTAGCTGGAACCACAGGCATGTGCCACCACATCTGGCTAATTTTTTGATTTATTTTAGAGTCGAGGTCTCGAACTCCTGAGTTCAGGCAGTCCTCTCGCCTCCGCCTCCCTAAGTGCTGGGATTACAGGCTTGAGCCACCACGCATAACTTTGTTTTTGTTTTCAAATCCTGCAAATAGCAAACATTTACTGGATATCTATAATGTACCGGCACCATTCTAAGCTCTTATTGTGTAAGAGCTCATTTAATTCCAATGGCAATTCAGCAAGGTGGCTCTGTTTTCATCTCCATTTGATGATTAAGAAACTGAGGCCCAGCCGGGCTCGGTGGCTCAGCCTGTAATCCTGCGCCTTTGGGAGGCTGAGGTGAGTAGATTGCCTGAGCCCGCGGGTTCGAGACCCGCCTGAGCAACTTGGTGAGTCCTCATCTCTACAATAAATAAAAATTAGCCGAACGTGGTAGTGCGCACCTGTAGTTCCACCTCCTTGGAAGGCTGAGGCGGAAGGATCGCCGGAGCCCAGAAGGTCAAGGCTGCAGTGGCTGGGAGCGGCCACTGTACTCGTCTGGGCAACAAAGTGAGACTCCAACTCAAAAAAAAAAAAAAGAAAGAAACTGAGGCCCAAAGAGGCTAATTCCTTTACCCTAGTTCACAGAATTAGGAAGTAGCAAAACTTTGAGCCCTAGCTTTCCAGGGCCATGCTGCTCTGTGATCTGCTTTTCTGTCTCAGAGCATCTCCTCATGATGAGTAAATATTCTTCAGGATGACCTCGAGAGGTCATGTGGAATTCCTTATGTGGGAGCACACAGGCTGGCACTTGATTCCCATTATTTTTAAATTGGGGTGTCACTCTGTTGCCCAGGCTGGAGTACAGTGGCATAATCACAGCTAACTGCAGCCTTGACCTTCTGAGTTCAAGAGATTCTTCTGCCTCAGCCTCCCCAGTAGCTGGTACTACAGTCATGCGCCACTACGCACAGCTAATTTTGGGATTTTTTGAGGAGATGAGGTCTCGCTATGTTGCCCAGACTGATCTCGAACTCCTGGTCTCAAGCGATCCTCCCCGCTTGGCCTCCTGAAGTGCTGGGAATAGTTCTCATTTGTTTTTACAGTCTTTCCTGCCCATGGGATCTGTCCTCGGTTGTGGACACCTTCATGCTTGGCCAGCACCGCTTAGACTGTTCCTTTTGCTCTTTGGGGTTCCCCACTCAATGTCAGATTGACATGGGGAAATGTTCAGCCTTGCTTGCTGCCTTACCCAGTTGGCTCCCTCAGACACTCTTGGTCTCCTTTGAGGATGCCAAAGGGCCTGGAGGTCTGTGGGCACTGGCTGGGTGGAGAGACCGGTAGCATGGCCCTCCTCCAGCTCCTTCCTCCTGATTCATGGCCACAGTGCCCCTCTGCCTTCCTCCCTGTTTCCCAGAACGAAGGCTTTTCCTCTCTCTGCTCACTTGTGAGCCTGCTTCTGTCTTGTGACCTTGGGCTTCAGGATCCCCTGATCCCCAATCCTTTCTCTTGGCTTGCGAAAGACTTGTAACTCTTGCTCCTTAAAGAAACTCAACCCAAGCCGACTGCCTTTCTCTGGTGCCTGCTATTCCTTCTGTGGGCTGTCAAACAGGTGGTAGCAAATTTGACTTCAACAGATCTGGGTTCAGGTCTTGGTTCTCCTACCGTGACCTCACCTTGGTTTGCCTTGCTTCCTTCATTTGCAACTTGGACACAGTAACTGATCTGGAGAGGACAAAAGACGGTCACAGGACCAGGAGAAATGTGTATACTCCACACTGCTGAAGAGTGAGAAAGAAGCACATGGGTTTTCACCCAGGCCTATTGTGGCCTGTTCCAGTCTACCTGGGATAATTAGTCTACCTAATTATATTAATAGTAGCGTATAACCATGACCACATCTGTGTATTGAACACCTACTAGGTATCTGATACTAGGCTCAGTTCTTTATTTCCTTTGATATCCATTTGTGTGCCCATATTGTTGGGTACCTCATGTCCGTGCTCAGGGTTTCTGGCTGTTCCAACCTTTTGGTTTTGTTTATGTATTTATTTATCTTAATTAATTAAGAGTCAGGATCTTACTGTGTTGCCCAGGCTGGCCTCAAGCTCTTGGGCTCAAGTGATCCGCCCACATTAGCCTCCTGAGCAGCTGGGGCTACAGGTGCCACCATGCCTGGCTTTCTGTTCTCGCTGTTTAAATGCCATCTCCCTACCCTTCTCCTCTCCATGTTTCCTTATGTTTTGCAATGCTTTTCTTCAAATTAGCTTTTTTCCTTTTTTTGAGTTGGAATCTCACTCTGTCGCCCAGGCTGGAGTGCAGTGGCACGCTCATGGCCACCCCAGCGTCGACCTGTTGGGCTCAGGCGATCCTTCCGCCTCAGCCTTCCAAGTAGCTGGAACTACAGGCATGTGGTACCATGCCTGGCTTATTTGATTTATTGTAGAGATGAGGTCTCACCAAGTGCCCAGGCTGGTCTTAAACCCCTGGACTCAGGCAGTCCTCTCACCTCAGCCTCCCAAAGTGCTGGGATTACAGGGTTGAGCCACAGTGCCCGGCCCACACTAGCATTTTTATTCTAAAAATGTTTTTTTTCTTGTTTAGAAAATTCAAAAACCATTCTGACAGCTATGCATTGAGGAGACGGACTTCTGGCTCCCTCCCCCAAGTCCCATTTTTCAGATGCTCACCAATAACTGTTTCTTGTGTTTCATTCCAGAAAACTTTAATGCAGATACAGATACAATCTTTTTTTTTTAAATCTCCCATGTGTTCTTCAAATTCAATTTTTTTTTTTTTTGAGTTGGAGTCTCACTCTGTCTCCCAGCCACTTCAGCCTCGACCTGCTGGGCTCCAGCGATCCTTCTGCCTCAGCCTTCCAAGTAGCTGGAACTACAGGCACACGCTACCATGCCCGGCTAATTCAAGTTCTTTTCCAGTTCCATTTTCTTACAAGATCCTTTAGGAATTAATTTTGGTAGGCATCTGACTGATTCTTTGCCAGCACTGTCTGCTGAACTACCCACTGGTATTAAAGTGTTGACCTGTAGTTCCTACTCCTTTGGGGTATTTCTAGACTTTCTGTTCTGTTCCATTCATCTCTCTGGGCACGAATGCCCTGATATATCCCACTGTTTAAGAGATACTTTCTAGTGGGTTTTAGCTGTCTTCCATTGCCCTCATTGAGATTATTTTCTAACCTGTCTTGAAAGCCTAGCTTGTGGATTTCATTTTTTCCAGAGTGATTTTCTGACCCCTTCACACAGGCTGGATATGATCTTTCCTCCCTCTAAACACATATACTGCTTTTGGGGCTGTCTTCTGCTGTGCTTTCAGCTTCTGTGTTATTTCTTTATATTTTTGAGTCAGGGTCTCACTGTATCACCCGGGCTGGCGTGCAGTGGCATGACCATGGCTCACCGCAGCCTCAACCTTTTAGGCTCAGGCCATCCTTCTGTCTCAACCTCCCAAGTAGCTGGGACTCTAGGTACCACCTGCCTGGCTAATTTATTCTTAATTTTTTTGTAGAGACGGTCTGACTATGTTGTCCAGGCTGGTCTCAAACTCCTGGGATCAAGCAGTTCTCCTTCAGCCTCCCAAAGTGCCGGGATTGTAGGTGTGCATTACCATGCCTGGTCTTCCTGTGTTATTTCTGAGTAATGTGTTATCACTCGGTCTGTGAGTGACCTGTGGGGCAGGATCCATCCCTGACACTGGCATCTCCCCAGCTCTGACTGCCTCCTCCCCACAGGCTACATTGGCGTAGTGAACCGCAGCCAGAAGGACATTGAGGGAAAGAAGGATATCCGCGCAGCGCTGGCTGCCGAGAGGAAGTTTTTCCTCTCCCACCCAGCCTACCGGCACATGGCTGACCGCATGGGCACACCACACCTGCAGAAGACCCTGAACCAGGTATGTTGAGGCATTGGGGCTGCCGTGTGCAGTGGTGCAGGCTGAACACTCCATAACGGCTATGATCCATGTAGGCACTGGCCTCAGGCTAGAGCAGTGGTTGTTTTGGCAAAATGTATTCAGTTCACATTTATTACTCCCATCATATATGCATTTGATTCAGGGCCTGATAAGGATTGGGTGTTCAGTACGTTGGTGCAGCTATTTCGCCATCACTGCTACTATTACTGTTACTTTGATTCCTGTTATAATTGTTTAGTCACATACTTGGAGGCATGCATGCATTTCCTGGGATTGGTGACCTGGTTAAGGACTCCTGGCCTGAAGCAGGGCAGGGGAGTGCTGGATGGCAGCTAAGTGGGAGAGCCCTGGAATCTGCCCTTCCTGGGTCTAGTGCCCAGCTCCACTGACAGAGCCTCCCTCTGCTGTTCATCATCAAGGATTATCACCCTCCCTGCTCCCTTGGGGCTGGTGCCTGTTTAGTGCCCAGAACACACACTAAACATGCGTCCATTAAACATTTAGTGCACCAGAACATGTGTGAAATAGCACTGTCTACCACCAGCCGAGCCAGTCCTTCCACTCAAGCGATCCTCCTGCCTCTACTTCCCAAAGTGCTGGGATTACAGGCATGAGCCACTGCACCTGGCTGGGTTTTCCTATCTTTTTTCCTATTCTTTTTTTATAGGTAATACATTTCTAGGACACATAAAAACAGTATGAGAGGATATGGTGGCGCACCCAGCTGCCCTTTCCTGTGCCCCCACAGGCATCCCTGTCATTGCTGCCTTAGCCTTCCTGAGAGCCACATTCTTCCTTTCTTACCATACTTGATGGTGTAGTAGTCATGGACATGTCCTCCCCCTTGCTTTTGTCCACTCAGCAAAACCTCCTGGTGCTCTGTCCCTGCAACAAGGACCCTTCCTGGCTCTTCTTTGCTGCTGTTTAATGTTCTCCAAGCATGTAGGCCCTGGTCTCTTTCACTGGTCTCTTGCAGGTGACCAGGATAGTGTCTGATGGTTCTAGTCAATAAAAGGCTGCAATTAGTAGAATCATTTTACATACGTGAGGGTTCTGGGTTGAGGGGTATAATCCCCACTCTGGGATTGTGCAGTGATACCCAAAAGATAGTGCCCATCTTAGCCGCTGTCCTGCTTGGCCCAGCCAGGAGTGCCCTTCGAGGGATGTTCGCAGAGGCGGGGCATTCCTCTCACTATTTTCTGGCAGCTTCTGTGGCGGAAGCAGGGACTCAGAGTGACAATCTAAGAGTCATTCTGTTGTGCACATGCTGGGGACACAGTGGTGACATGAGAGCAGAGCCCTGTCCTTGTGGAAGGCATGGGGGGACAGATGGGGAAGAAGTCACCGGATCAAGTGTGATCAAGTGTCAGGTAAGGGTGGGGCGGGAAGAGAGCTCTCTGAGAAGGTTCTCAGGAGATGGGAGGGGCTCAGGAGAGGGGTTCAGGCTATCCTTGGGAAATACCTCAGGGGAGGAAGCTGGGGAGGGAGATGGGAAGTAGAACTCCCTGCAGGGGTCTGAGGCCTCTGAGAGCTAGCAGGCAGACAGCCCACTACTCATCCTTGGGAGTCTGGAGAGGCTCCATTCCCTTCAAATTAGGGTACTTCCTGGGTTGAGGCACCCATGCCCCTTGGTTTGCCCATGAGATAAATGCTCTTGGGGACTGCCACAGACCAGGGAAGGGCAGCATAGGTACCCAACTTGAAGACTTGCAGTACCCACAGAGAGGGTCCTGTGGCCTGGGCTGCAGGGACAGGGACCCCTGGTCAGGGATGACATTGAGGAGCTTTGCCAGATCTGTGCCACAGACGTGTGGCTCTTCATGCCCTTTCTGGCTACATGGATTCATTTTTTGTTTTTTTTGAGTTGGGGTCTCACTCTGTGTCCAGGCTGCAGTGCAGTGGCACGCTACCGCCACCACAGGCTTGACCTGCTGTGCTCAGGTGATCCTTCCACCTCAACCTTTTAAGTAGCTGGAATTACAGGCACACGACACTATGTCCAGCTAGTTTTTTGACTTATTGTAGAGAGGAGATCTCACAAAGTTGCCCAAGCTGGTCTTTAACCCCTGGGCTCAGGCAATCCTCTCACCTCCGCCTCCCAAAGTGCTGGGATTATAGGCGTTAGCCACCTTGCCTGGCCTCCATGGATACTTTGTAAATTCTTCTCTGTTGTAGAGCCGATGAAAAACTCTGTTGCTTTTCAAATCTTAGCTGATTTTGTGGCTGTTTTTCATTAATTTTTTTTTCTTGCTTCTGTAATAGTTAACATAAAGTCATCCAACCTACTTCTAATGAATGTCCCATTTCCTCTCTTTCTGTGATGGGCATTTCCTTCCAGAGGTGGCCATTGTCACCACTTCCCCAGGCTTCCTTCTAGTCATACTTGGCATGGAGAGTTGGACATGTCTGTATAGCCCCTCCTCCTCCGACCTCCACTTCTTGCTTCCTCCCTCCCTTCTTTTCTTTCTCCTTCTTTCCTTTATAGTAAGTTCACACATATGAACCTTCAAGTTGTGAACTTTCTTTTTGTTTTTGAGTTGGTGTCTCTCTCTGTTTCCAAGGCTGGAGTGTAGGGGCATGCTCACAGCCCCCGCAGCCTTGACCTGCTGGGCTCAGGCAATCCTTCCACCTCAGCCATCCAAGTAGCTGGAACTACAGGCATGTACCACCACGCCTGGCTATTTTTTTAATTTATTGTCGAGATGAGGTCTCACCAAATTGCCCAGGCTGGTATCAAATCCCTGGGTTTAGGCAATCCCTCTTGCCTCTGCCTCCCAAAGTGTTGGGATTACAGACATGAGCCACCGTGCCTGGCCAAGTTGTGAACTTTCAAAGATGTGAACACGTGTTCGCATTTCCAATCATGTAAGTTAGCTCATGTGCCTGGCATACATTGTCAAGTATGCAGTGTACTATACTTAAGGTTAAAAATGTTTTCTTTATTTTTGTGTTTTTTTGATGTATTATTTGTGTGAAAAGTACTACAAACCTATTACAGTACTGTACTATATAGCTGACTGTGTTAGTTGGGTACCCAGGCTAACTTTGTTGGACTTTATTTTTTTATTTTTTGAGTTGGAGTCTCACTCTGTCACCCAGACTGGAGTGCAGTG